ACCCCCTCGCTGCCAGCCAAAAGGCAGCATAAAAATAGGTCTAGAGTAGGAATTTACGGAAAAACACTGGGGCTGCCCCTCCCTGACACCCAGAGATCCACATCTGGGGGCTTTTATCTCGATCCTGATGCCCCACCCTGGGCAGCACCTGGGATGCGGGTGGCAAGCTGCTCCTCACACACCCACTTTTGGCCTCTCCTGCTCTGCTTTTATTTTTGATTTCCACTTCCCTTGCGTACATGTAACGTGTTTTCAGCCGAGGGCTTTGCCCTCCTCCCCTGCTGTCCTTGCCCGTCTTCCTGCCCGGAGGCAGACATCCCCTGTCTCTGCCGGGGCCACGGCACTCTCCAAGCTGCTGGCGAGCGCTTCATCCTTTAGCTACTCTATTGTTTTCAGGGCGTTCGAGCCCTAAATAGCAATGCCATTAATTATCCCAGATTTTTGGTCCAGACTCCAGGAAAGCTAAATTTGACTAGGCTGGCAGGAAACGACTCAGGCAGTGGTACGTGGGCTTGCATCCTCTGCAGGGACACTGCCTCTCTCCTCCTGGTTTTCTGCCATGAAGCAGCCGTGAGACGGAGCGCGAGGCAGCCCGGGGGGGGCTGTGGCTAAAATGGCGGTTTGGGGGCCACAAGCCATCTGCCCCAGCGATACAGGGTAGTGCTGCCCGGCGACAGGCATCGCCCGAGCCGCAGCCGGTTTATCAAGGACTGGGAGGCAGGCTGGCAGAGGTGCCTGCAGGATGATAGCGGGGTACGTGGTGGGGATCCCGGGCAGGAACAAACCCACGCCCTGGGGGGGGGTAGCAGTAGTGCTGGTCTTGCTGGGGCCGAGTTTGCTGCATCCCTGCCAGCCTCAGGGGCTGTGGAGAAACGTACCTGCAGGTCCAGGAGCAGCTCCTCCAGCAGCAGCTGGCAGGCTTTCTTCTGCGTCCTGTCTAGAGCAGCCCGGAGGGACGCGGGGACTTCTCTGCGGGCAGTGTCGGGATGCAGGGAGGAGACAGAGGAGCTACAAGAGAGAAGGGAGGGGACAGGTAGCCTGGGAAGCATGGTGGGGACACTAGACCCCAGGGGGATGGGGCGGATGTGGCTTCCTTGTGGGTAGTTGGTGGAGGTTGGTGGGTAGAGGTTGCCCCAGGAACTACAAGGTGCTGGTGCACGTTACCCGAGAGCCAGGTTGTTGTTGAGCATGGCGAGCAGGTAGGAGACGTAGTACTTGGGTACAGTCCGGTCCTTCTGGTGCTCCTTCCCACATCGCACTAGGGCTTCCCGCAGACTGCAACACAGCGAGGCAGCCAGGGTGGGTGGGCAGAGCCCCGGATGGCTCGCCCCAATGAGCTGGGATGTGCTTGGGGGCACCTAGACCTCCCGCAACCCTCCCAGCCTCCTTCCAGCTCCTGCCAGCTGGAGAGTGACAGGTTGTGGGGTGGGGGTGGGACAGTGGCACCCATTCTGGGCCCCTCGGGAGAGCAGGACTTGGAGCTACCGGAGAAGCACTTGGAGCAGCAAGCCCTGGGAGCTGGTGGCCCCCAAGGGCTGAGGCAGTAGCCTCACGGGTGGACAGGCTGCTGAGCCTTCCGTGACCTGGATGAACGCTGGGTGCCCCCGGGCAGATCTCCACCATCACCCTACAGTGCTTGGCTGTGGGACCCAGGGTCTATGAGGACGGGCAGGGGCGTGAGGGGTTCCACTGACCGGCCCAGAAATGCCTCCAGCTCCTCCAAAGCCATGTTGTAGACCTTCTGCTGCAGAGAGTCGGTGATCAAGGAGGCTACCTGGATGTTCTCATTCAGCATCTGCAGGGGAGAGAGTCAGCGGGAGGCTGCAAGCCACGGCCCCATTTCTGGGGGCTCTCAGCATGGCTGTGCCCCAGCTGCACCCACGGGGACCCACCTGCATGACAATGACAGGCAGGGCTGACTGGAAGAAGCCCTGATGGTCTGTCTCGGGTTCCTCTTCCCTGAACCACTCCTTGAACTCCACCTCCAGGGTCCTCTGCATCCACTCCAGCACGCTAGCCTGCGGGACGGGCGCCCACCACCATCAGCCCAAGAAGTCAGGTACCGACTGCCCTGAGACCCCCACACGTAGCGTGGCAGCGAGTCCCGGGCCTTGTCCCACAGGCTCTCGGTGTCGTGCTGCTGTCGGAGCGGACAGCGGCTCGGCGGTGGTTGCTGTGTCCCAGTGCCTGCTGCACGTGTGCTGTCCCACTCACTCACCTTGACCTTCACCACGTATTTCCTCTCCGTCTGCTCCACAAGCTCAGGGGACATCAAGGGACCCAGAGCAGAAACGTCCACTTCTGGGACAAGGTCAGGGTGACCCATCATCTCTGGACTGGAGGGAAGAATTGGCCCAGGGCCGGGAAGACCTGTGTTTTTCAGCAGTTCCTACCTCTCCCCCTGCCCTCCCGGGGGTCATCGGCAGGCGGCTGGAGCCGCTCTCCCAACCCGCCCGCACGCTGGTGGAGAGCGCGGCTCCCGGCTGGGCTGGTGCTGACCTGTGGTACACACGAAGCGCCCACTCAAGGAGGAGGAAGAGTCCCTGTTTGTCCAGGTCCTCTCGGAGGAGGTCCTGGAGGTGGCTGCTGAGGGCCTGGTGGTACGTGGCGGTGCAGATGCCGAGGATGTTGTAGTGGGGTGGGACGCACTGGACCATCAGGTCCTTCACCACGCGCAGCTCGGACACAACGTCCTTCTGCAGCGCTGCCAGGTGCTTGGCCAGCCCCGGCCCCTCAGCGTCCGCGTGGGTGGCATGAAAGCGGGCTCCTGTGATGGACTCCCGGAGAACGTGGTAAAACTTCTGCCTCCAGCTCTTTGGGCGGCCGGGGGGAAGGAAGGTGCCTTCCAGCAGCAGAGCGTCATCGATTTTCT